CCTTCACAAGATGTAGAGTAGTGGATGCACCCACCTGAACTTGCTTTTTTCATGTAACAATATACCCTGGAAATTATTCCATATTATTTCATAGAGATCTTTCTCATTCTCTTTAAACAGCTACAAAGTCTCTTGCAATCAACATGTTGCCTGAGCCTGCAGTCATCTGAAGACTTGACTGGGGTCTGTTGAGCCACTTTTAAAGATGACTTTCTCCCGTACCTCCCCCATTGGTGCTGGTTGTTGACAAGAGCATCTCCTCGTGGGCTTATCCCCAGGCTGCTAGAGCTTCCCCACAACATGGCAACTCAATTCCCCCTGAGCACCTAATCCAGAGAGCTGGGATAGAAACATCAATGGCTCTTATGACTTAGCTGGGTCACATACTATCCCTTCCAGAACATTCCATTTATTAAAAGCAAGTCACTAAGTCTGGCCCACATTCAAAGGAAGGTGAATTGGGCTCCACCTTTTGAAAGGAAGCATATCAAAGAATTTGTGGACATATCTTAAAACCTCCATAAGCCTCAGTAAGGGAACATTCTGCACAGGACAACTATTTACCTTGTGTGTAAGTAATGTAAATTTTTCATTAGCCAAGTAGTGTTCACTTAGCCCGGAAATTAATATAATAACACGATATATTATTATTTATATTGTATTACCTATGGGCATATATAGACACATATATACATAATGAATATATTGATAGATGATAGATAGATGATAGATAGATAGATAGATAGATAGATAGATAGATAGATAGATAGATGATAGATAAATTCCTGGAGGAGCTCTTTATTTTCTTTATGAAAATAACAAGGATTTATTGAGAATTTTTTCATGTAGACATCTCCATTTAATTATACATAACTCAAGGTCCTACTTCTCAAATTAGGGGACCTGTACTCCCAGGGATATGCAGTGGAAGGCTAAGGTGGGAAAATGCACAGGAAGGGTCAGATCTTACAGGGATGACTTTATGTAGTGGTACGCAATATGAAAACATTTTTATCCTGAAACAACTGTAGAGGTATTTGTGGAGCAAAATGCAGTGTCTACACATATTTTTAAAATCAAGCATGAACTTTCAAAGAAATTTTGAACTTAGGGAGTTCAGAATAAGCTACTTCGGCCTATTTCTTCCAACCTCCCAGAGGTTTCCAATTCTCTGTCCTTAATGGTGAGTCAGTTCAAAGGTCTGAGAGGTGTTGGCTTTCGAGTACACATCTGTATTTTGCCCTGGTGGGAACTGGTGAGACCCTTTCTTCTAGTCTTCTAGGGAGTCTAAAGGAATCACCCTTGTTCCTGTGTGAGTTATTCCAATTCTGCTGTCTGCCTTCTCCCAATTTTGATAAGGGTGTTTGTCAAACTATTCGAGGTTTATGTCAAATGCACTGGGATGGGTCTCCTTGGTTCATAGTTCTTATTACCACTTGCAGATTTTCTTGGTCTTTTTTTTTTTTAAAGATTTTATTTATTTATTTGAGAGAGAGAATGAGAGAGAGATAGCATGAGAGGGGGGAGGGTCAGAGGGAGAAGCAGACTCCCTGCCGAGCAGGGAGTCCGATGTGGGACTCGATCCAGGGACTCTGGGATCATGACCTGAGCCGAAGGCAGTCGCCTAACCAACTGAGCCACCCAGGCGCCCGGTCTTTTTTTTTTTTTAAGTAGGCTCCACACCTAGCATGGAGCCCAACATGGGGCTTGAACTCACGACCCTGAGATCAAGACCTAAGCTGAGATCCAGAGTCAGAGGCTTAACCAACTGAGCCACCCAAGTGCCCCTCAAGTGCCCCTCTTGGTCTTTTTTAATTTTTCAGTGTTTAACTTAAGTGCCATTTATCTGTTGATTTCTACAAAGCTTGTGCCTTTGGAAAACACAGGTCCTGGTGTCTTTCTTATGCCAGGAACGGCATCTCATGCTAATGTGTGCTCTTCCTGGATCAGCCCTCCCTGTCCAGGCAACCCAGCAGATCACTGATCCAGGGAGAGGACACATTACAACCAGGTGCCATCACTGGGACCCTCTGCTCCTTTGGGCAGGGAGCTTGATTGGTCTCCAAGATGAAAATGGACTTCCCTCCTTTGCCTTACCCTACCCAGAGCTGAATTACCCAACAGACGACTAAAGCAGAGGCATCCAAACAATGTTTTGGGTAAAATAATTAAATATTTTCCCCCCAAAATCAAAATTTTGGCTGCCTAATAATTATTTTATGATTTGGCATAGTTTTAAATTTTAATCACATCAAAGAGGAAGAAGGGAGAAATCATCTCTTCCATCTCAAGGTCTCTGCTGGTCTTTCTAGGGCTCTGGCCACAAAGGCCCCTATAACACACCAAGGACCCTTCCCTTGCTGGCCCAGCTCCGGTTAAACCCTGTGTGATCACTCTTCTGCCTACTATTAGAAAAGTCACACAGGGCACCTGGGTGGCTCAGTCGTTAAGCGTCTGCCTTCGGCTCAGGTCATGATCCCAGGGTCCTGGGATCGAGCCCCGCATCGGGCTCCCTGCTCAGCGGGAAGCCTGTTTCTCCCTCTCCCACTCCCCCTGCTTGTGTTCCTGCTCTCGCTCTCTCTTTGTCAAATAAATAAATAAAATCTTTAAAAAAAAGAGAAGAAAAGTCACACGTTTGGGAGCATAGCTACAGTTCCCGTCTCTGTAATCCTCTGTTGGAAATACACTTGTGGTCTACTACCCTTGACGTTACCGTGCTTGGGTACTTCTAACTGTGAGGACTAAGCTCGTGGGTAGTTCATTGCCCCTAGCTCCTAACCATGGAAAAGGAAGTATGAGTGGCACGGCTCGAAGGCAGGGCTCTCAGCTGGGGTCCCAGAACAAGGATGAGGGGACAAATACATCTTTATTCTCACTAGCCTTAAAATGAAGTTTAGCATTTCGATTATGAGTGTAGGCAGCAAGCTCCAGCCGTTTTAACAGAACCCGTGACATTTTCACCAGAAGAAACCAAGATATTCTCATGTCCAGTTCAGTTGTTAGAGATACCTTGAAATATCACTTCACTCATCACTGCTTCAAGTGTACGGAGGTGTTCAGACCCCTAACAGATCCCGTGTGGTGCGGTACGCTGGTGTATCACTGCTTTGAGCTGTATGAGCCCAGATGTCCCACATTCTGCATCGCTTGTCCAGAGATATACATTGCTTCTTGGCTCCTTCATATCTATAAAATTCTCTATTTCTTTAAAAAGAGAGAATATCTGAACTGAGCTGAGGACATCTACAAACACTTAGAACTCTTTCAAAACTGGGGCACCTGGGTGGCTCAGTCGTTAAGCGTCTGCCTTCGGCTCAGGTCATGATCCCAGGGTCCTGGGATCGAGTCCCGCATCGGGCTCCCTGCTCTGCAGGGAGCCTGCTTCTCCCTCTCCCACTCCCCCTGCTTGTGTTCCCTCTCTCGCTGTGTCTCTCTCTGTCAAATAAATAAAATCTTTAAAAAATAAAAATAAATAAATAAATAAATAAAATATAAAACCAGGGGCGCCTGGGTGGCTCAGTCGTTAAGCGTCTGCCTTCGGCTCAGGTCATGATCCTAGGGTCTTGGGATTGAGCCCCGCATCGGGCTCCCTGCTTGGCAGGAAGCCTGCTTCTCCCTCTCCCACTCCCCCTGCTTGTGTTCCCTCTCTCGCTGTCTCTCTCTCTCTGTCAAATAAAATCCTGAAAAAAAAAAAAAAAGAACTCTTTCAAAACTTATTTCTATCATAATGGCATCAAAGCTGACCATGAATTTATAATCATTTTCTTTTTAATATAAGTCAATCTATTGATCTATTGCTAATGTATTGATCTTTGACAAAATACTTATTTCAAATAGAGTTGTACTTAAGTCTTGGATGATTCTGGTGTTCCTTGCAAGAAGCCGCCTGTGTTTGCTTTGTAAAATGAGATATGGGAGGTTTCATTTCCTTCGCAATATATGTTTGTGAAACAGTGTTCTTAGCCCTCATAATAGCAAAACAAAAAATTAAGATGCATTGAAAGTCTAGTATGACATGCGTATTGCCTTGTTGTTTTAAAATATGGGTTTCATTGTTATTCAGATATGGCAGGCCCCTAGAGCAGGAGACCATTGCCATTGACAAGATAGCTGTTTTGTTATATGTATCTGCTCAGGCTGCTACAGTCTGGGTGGCTTAAACAACATAAAATTCATTTCTCTCAGTTCGGGAGGGTAAAAGTCCACAATCAAGGTGCCAGCAGAGTTAGTATCTGGTGCAAGCTCTCCCCTTGGCGTGTAGACAGTCAGTGCCCTTCTCCCTGTGTGCTCACAGGGCCTTTCCTCGGTGCATGTGCACAAGGAGCAAAAAGAAAGAGAGGGAGAGAGGGAGAGAGGGAGAGAGAGTTTTCCGTGTCTTCTTACAAGGATACTGTCGGATACGAATCCTATCAGATCAGGGCCCCAGCATTATGACCTCATTAAACGTTACTTCCTTAGAGGTTCCATCTCCAAATACAGACCCACTGGGGACTAGGGCTTCCACATTTGAATTTGGGGGGGACACACACATTCAGTCCATAACACACTGACGACCCCCAAGAGAAGGGGTACATCATACTGTGGGGTTGGGGGGTAGGGTCCCAAGGGAAGCACTGGGGTCTGTCAGGAGGCAGATTAAGTAAGAGGGAAACATGGACAAGAGCCTTTTGTGGGAAGGGGAAGGACCAGGTGAGGCAGGGTGGGCAGGGTTAGGATTGGCTCGTTTGAGTCAGTTCGGTGGTCTCTGGGACGTAGGTGCTCTCCCTAGTTGTCTGGTACCTGGCCTGGGGTGATTAGGGCCAGAGGATAGTGGATAGTGGAGTGGGAGAGGGTACGTATGGGCTCTGAAGTGATTGGTTTGCATGTGAAATGTCATTTACCATCTCTGGGAAGTTCCTAAGCCCGGGAGGGGCAGCTTCTCCAGGGTCTGCAAGGACCCAGGTAGCACAGACTCAAATAACAGAAACTAGAAGATGTGATTATTACAAAGTTTGCCCCACTTTCTTTTTTCCTTTAAAACAAGAAGTTTATTTAAACAACAAGATGCTTGACTTGAAGGGAAAACTATCTAGGATTCATTTCTTTTAGAGTAATTTATCCCTACTTAAAGACAGATTGCCCTACATGTAACAGCTACGTACAAAAAAGTTATAAAATTGTCCTTGGTTTTACAATGATAAATGAAAAACATTAAAATTCTCCAATCAAACAAGGTATGCAAGGATTTTTCTGTTGTTCTTTTTTTGTTAAACAGTGAGAGCAAAATAACTTACTGGAATATAAAGATAAGAGCTGACTGAGCATGCCACTAATGGAGAGAGGGGGGTATTTTCACAGAAGCAGTATTTTCCCCCATCCCATCTCCATTTGATGTCGATCAAAACATACCATGGGCCATTTAGTTAAAAAAAATGCAATACGCTTGTGCACATGCACAGTTACTTTATGTACAATAAAGGAATGGGGAAGGGGAAAAGGAAAGAATAGAGAAAACTATCCTGTAGTAGTCAGGATGTGCTGGAACCACATTGCGACTTTCTAATTGAGAATGTCTTCTTGGTCTGGAGGAACAGAGTTCTGGAGTAAAGTAGCAGGCTCCCTTTTTAGTAGACACCTCCCGTCTGCTGCTGGAACACATCCATTGTATCTTCATCCTCCATTTCCAACTGTCGTTCACAATAGGCTTTCATTAGTTTACTAAGTGGTGTATGGCTCTTAATCTTAAACTGCACCACAGAACCTTCCTGCTCCGCCACCTGCAAATTAATATGATCGTTATTCTCAGTCTTGACTCCTTCCTTGGGCTTTTCGTCGGCCATGGCGAGCGCCGAGTCTCCTCAGCTGCCGCTTCGCAAAAGAGGTACCAGGTCTGCACCGAACGAGCACACGAGGAGCACTTGCCCCACTTTTTAATGTTCTTATTCAAGCTAAAGAGCAACAGCTTCCATATTGATGTGTCTTCTAAAATACACAATTTTAACTTTAAAATGCCTATATTGGGAACATATTTTCTTATCACTAAACACCACACATATATCCCAAATTTGCTTTCTTTTAATGTGTTGACGTATTAGCTACTCATTGCGGCGTAACAAGTTACTCCAAAACTAGTGATCGAAAAGAACAAGCACTTATTATTTCACAGTATGTGTGGTCAGGAATTTGGGTGCAGCTTAGCCAGGTGGTTCTGGGTCAGGTTCTCTCCCGGGACAGAATCAAGGTGTCAGCCAGGGTCTCAGTCTTCTTGAGGCTGAGCGGGGAAGAATCTGCTTCCAAGCTCACGCACGTGGCCGTGGGCAAGTCTGAGTCCCTTGCCACATGGGCCTCTCCATGGAGCTACCACAGGTCAGAGCAGTTGGCTTCCTGCTGTACAAAGTAACCCGAGCGAGAGCAAGAAAAAACCACCCAAGAAGCCGGTCTTTTTATAACCAATTCTCGGAAGTGACATCCCATAACTTCTGTCATGTTTTGTCGTTAGAAATGGGATCATACTGGGTCCAGCTCAGTATGATCCTCTGCAAGGACCCAGGTAGCACAGTTTGCCCCACTTTTTTTTTTTTTTCCTTTTAAACAAGAAGTTTATTTAAACAAGACGCTTGACTTGAAGGGAAAACTATCTAGGATTCATTTCTTTTAGAGTAATTTATCCCTACTTAAAGACAGATTGCCCTACATGTAACAGCTACGTACAAAGAAGTTATAAAATTGTCCTTGGAGTCTCCTCAGCTACCGCTTCGCAAAAGAGGTACCAGGTCCGCACCGAACGAGCACATGAGGAGCACTTGCCCAGGGGAAGGGAATTCGTCAAGGGCACAAATACCAAAAGCAGGATCACTGAGGGTCACCCCCAAGGCCGCATATCACAATTGATAACTATGTTTCGATACAATTGCTTTTCCTTGCAATTCTTTGTATTTTATTTTTTGAATTTAAACACATTATTCTACAAATAGGTCCAAGGGCTTCTCTAGCTATACATAGCACGAATTGGTTAAGAGTCCCTGTTCCAGTGCCAGACAGATCTGGATTCAAACCCTGCCTCACCTCCCAGCCGTGTGGACCCTGAGCAATCACTTCCCCTTTGTGAGCATGGGTGGCCTCCAACAATAAAATGGAGATGATAATAGCCCGTCTCCCAGACCTGCTGTAGGGATTAAATGAGATCATGCGTATAAAACATGAAGATTCTGCCAGATTGTGTTAAGCACCGAGTAAATGGTAGCTTTTATCCACAGAGAAAAGAACGTGCCTGAATTTCACACATATGCATGCTTTTCTTTTCTTTTTTTTTTTAAGATTTATTTATTTATTTATTTATTCATGAGAGACAGAGAGAGAGAGAGAGAGGCAGAGGGAGATGCAGGCTCCCAAGGAGCAGGGAGCCTGATGTGGGACTCGATCCCAGGACCCTGGGATCATGACCTGAGCCGAAGGCAGACGTTTAACCATCTGAGCCACCCAGGCGCCCCTGCATGCTTTTCTATTTCACGTAGTTACAAAAGCCCAGGGATCACGTTTATTAATGGTTGGGTTCCACTCTTTCCCCCTGTTGTGTACCTTAAAAATCTTGAGGAATATATATGATGAAGCCCAATGTGTCTGTACCTGCTCCCTCACCAGAAAGCACCACATAAAACACTAAGTATTATTGCAGCGGGAAGGACTAACGGTCAGTGCAAGAGTCGGACGCTGGGCCAAGATCATCCATAGGGCAGGGACATATAACTCAAGAAACCGCATACAGCTGACAGAATCTCAACCCCAGCAATTAGCATTTTCAATCAGTAAAACACCAGCCATGCAGGACACAGGTAAATAGGGAAGATCAACCCCCTTTTAAGCTTTCCAACTAAGTGTCCCTACCAGCCAGTCCAGTTCAAAAAGGAGGAGGCAGGGAAGGGACTGGGGCTACCCTATTATCGTTTTGTGATTCTTTTATGATTCTTTTAACAGAGAGGATGCATTATATAAGAATTCATTAACAGATCAGAAACAACGTGGAAAACTGAGAGTCGGGAATGGCTTGCTGCCTACATCTGTTTGTTCCCGTGCATCTGGAAATCAGAAAGATGGTATTTGCAAGAGCAGGGCTCACTTCCTGACCTGGAGCCTGGACACAGGTAGAAATTGCTGTTTCGACTCCACTAGAGAAAGCCTCTGTTCCAGTTGGCGTCCCTCGCCTGGCGTGGCCATGACTCACAGCACACACACGGATGGAACATGATAACAAAGAGGGGCAGCACCTGTCACCATGAAGAAGTAAGCATGTTCACATGTTAGTTTTGATTTCCCAGCAACCATGTGGGGAAACCGAAACACCGTGTTCCGCTCCACTCCCCACCCCTCCCCAGCAAGCTCACTCCCAGTTCCTGGGCACAGTTGTTCAAAACCTGGTGTACCAGAGAACTGGATTTGAAAGATCCTGATTAGCACCAGAATTAGAATTAAGGCTCACAAGCAAAGGGTACATGGGCTCTCTCTCTGTTGTTTCTTACATCTGCATGTGAATCTATGGTTTTCTCAAAATAAAAAGTGCCATTTTAAACATCGAGCTACTCAGAATGTACGACAACAGGAAGAAAGAAATAGCAACCCCCACTCACTCCTCCAAAAAATAAAAAAGCCCCATTCTGAAAATCAACTTTTTGGTGTTTTATTAGACGAACTTCCTCAATCAAGCTATTCCCATATAGTTGCCGTTCTGTGCCAAGTGGAAGGGGGTGCAAGAGAAAATGACACTGTTCCTTTTTTCTCCTTTCCCGTTACCAAACTGACAAGTTTCTTAAGAGCAACTGAAAGAATATTCTGGTAGTATAAACAAGAACTGGGAAGACACATTTGCTCCAGAGAGAGCAGAGGAAGGGGTGGGGGGAGAGAGAGAGAGAGAGATAAAGGTACACCCTTTCATGACAGATACTTTTGGACTTTTGAATTTTATATTATGTGTACATGTTGCCTGGTCCAAAACACGATTCCCCAAATTTTACATGTCCCTTGAAGGTCTAGAGCAAACACAGCCTTCTGCATGAGCGTGTCTCATCCTACCAGTTTGAATACATCCTTCTCTCCTGTGTTCCATAACGTGACGGTTCTCAATCTTGACTGCCAGTTGAAAAAACTGAGAGCTTTTTTAAAAAATACCCACGCTCAGGCCCCTCCCCAGACCGACTGAATGAGAATCTCAGAGGGGAGGAGATCAACAGGGATGTTTAAAAAAAAAAAAAAATTCCCCAGTAGTGTAAAATATGTACTCAGGATTGAGAACTTCCGCCCTGGCGTGTTATGGAGCCCAGATTCCAGCACTCACCCTGTAAGTAAAATAAGTGATTACAAAAATAAAATAAATAAATAAAAAACTACTTTCACATCTTTGATCTCATTTTGTCTGCAAAACCGCCCTGTGAACTGGGTGTCATGGCCGCGCTGCCCAGAAGAGGAAAGGGACTGTTGAAGTGTGAGAAGTCACAAAGGGTCCCTTTGGGCTTCTGGGTTCTCTACTTTGTTTGACCGGCTCCCCTGAGATTACAACTGGAGTCTCTGCTCCCCACCCATATTCTAGCACAGCACCTCATGCATAGGTGGTGTTCAACAGCGAGTTATCTGCACGGTAACAACCGAGTGGTCCCGAAGAGTGGCAGGAAGTGTCTCAGTCAGTCACCCAGAGCTCGCCCTCCACACAGAGTTTCCAGATGGGAACTATTAGATATTAGCTATTCAGGGTGCTTTGAGATTCCATATGAATTTTAGGATAGATTTTCCTATTTCTGCCAAAAAAAAAAAAAGTGCCATTGGTATTTTTAAAGGGATTGCACTGGATCTGTGGATCGCTTTGGGTAGTATTAGCAATTACTACCCAATACTACTTAGAATTAACAATATTAAGTCTTCTGATCCATGAATGTGGATGTCTTTCCATTTATTTGTGTCTTTTTACATTTCTTTCAGTAGTGTTTTGTAGTTTTCAGCGTACAAGTCCTTTGGCTCCTTGGTTAAGTTTATTTCTAAGTATTTTATTACTTTTGATGCTACTGTAAATGGTATCATTTTCTTAATGTCCTTTTCAGGATATTCATTGTTAGTGTATAGAAATGCAACTCATTTCTGCATGTTAACTTTGTATCCTGCAACTTTGCTGAATTGGTTTCTCAGATCTAACAGTTTTTTAGTGGTGTCTTTATGGTTTTCTACATATAAGATCATGTCATCGTGAATAGTGATAATTTTACTTCTTCCTTTCCAATTTGAATGTCTTTTATTTCTTTTTTTTACCTAATTACTCTGACATCTAGTACTTTGTTGAATAGAAGTGGTGAGAATGGGCATCTTTGCCTTGTTCTTGATCTTAAAAAGAAAGCTTTCAGTTTTTCACCATTGACTATGATGTTAGCTGTGGGCTTTTCACGTATAGCCTTTATTATGTTCAGGTAATTTCCTTCTAATCTTAATTTGTTGAGTAAATGAAAGAGTAATGAATTTTGTCAAATATTTTTCTACATCAACTGAGGCAAACGTGGGGTTTTCCCCTCATTCTGCTAATATGGTATATTACCTTGACTGATTTTTGTAAGTTAAACCATCCTTGCATTCCAGAGATAAATCCCACTCCTCTTGGTCATAGTGTTTAATCTTTTTAATGTGCTATTGAATTCAGTTTGCTAGTATTTTGTTGAAGATTTTTACATCAATATTCATCAGGGATATTGGTCTGTACTTTTCTTTTAGTATTGTCTGATTTTAATCTCAGAGTAATACTGGATTCATAAAATGAATTTAGACATGTTCCCTTTTCTTTAATTTTTGGGAAGATTTTGAAAAAGGCTGGTGTTAATTCCTTCCTTAAATATTTGGTAGAATTCTCTTGTGAAGCCATTTAGTCCTGAGTTTTTCT